CAAAAGATCACACCAATCCTCCATACTGAAACTTTAGCTTTGGATTTTCAGCCAAGATCCAAAGTGTAATAATTCATGGAAGACATGTAATGCATTGAAGCTTAGAACAATGAACAGGTGAAATAGACATACGGATCTTTTTGATTTGCTCTGGGTTTTAATTAGTCCTTTGCTCTCTCGGAAATGAAGGCAGATTGCTATGTGAGCGGGGTGGGGCAGGACAGCTTGCATTGCTGCTATTTTTATTAGGTATTAGGGGAAACTTTCTACCAATATGGGTAGTTCAACTCTGGGATAGGCTTCTAGGGCAGACTGAGGGGTTCCTGGGCTGGGTGGGTGGGGGCCTATAGATGATGTTGTCATGCGGAATCATATTAGAAAGCTGCTAAGTGCTGTTTATTGCGTTAAGTGAGGGCAGTGCTGTCTCAGAACGTGTTTAAGAGCAGGCTGGATGAGCACTTGTCAGGGATGGTCTAGATATGCCCGATGTCAGAGCAGGGAGTGTACTTGATGACTTTTTCAGGTGTTTCCTAGCTCTACATTTCTAGCATTCGTATTTACAGCAGCTCCTTGAGAAGCCTACTCAGATCGGGGCCCCACTGGGCTGTACTTAGTAAGTCTCAGGCCTGCCGATGGTGGGGGGAGGGGAACGACAAAGGGGGCAGTTGTCCTGGGGCCCAGTGTTCCAAAAGGGCCTAGAGCCCCACGTGGAGTGCTCCCTATAGGGCTGCCTGAGAAGGCGGGAGCATGGCAGGGTGGGGGAGGGGCACACCACAATCCCGGCGGTGGTGCTGAGGGCTGGCTGCACTGGCTCCGCCCCTTCCTCTTGAGGGCCCGCCCCTTCCTACCTTGCTCAGGGGCCTAGCGAGGCTGCTGGCTCCCCTGCTAAGCATCATTTCCCGTCCCAAAGAGGTTCTTATGCAAACGAACGAGACTGGCGAAGTGTGGGAGGTGAAATACAGGCTCTGAAAGGGGGAGTCTCTTGCCCCAGGTCACACACAGAGCAGGTCACTGGCCCAGCTGGGACCAGAAATTACATCTTCTGAGCACCAGTATTCTACCCATTGGACCACACTGCCTCTCAACGGTGAACATGCCCTGCAGATAAGCAAGGGACTACTTCAGGGATGCCAGGTAACATGCATTGCATTCGCTTTTAAGGCAACGGACACTTACTGGCTTCGTTCAATACGGCACCACAGTTTAATTCACTTGCAAAAGGGTCTTTGTTCTTTTTGTGAATTAACCCTGGTGGGAAAACCTTCTTGGCATTCCCTCACCTTTGAGTGCCTCGCCGTGACCCTTTACTGTTTCCTTACCGTACTGATAAAGAATTTCCCAGGTTTCTGGTTGGTATTTTTTGGTGGTACATGGGAGGGGGAACCTCAAGAAGCAGCAGCAGCAGCTTTCTCTGCAGGATTTGGAAGCTCTCCTGGCCGGTGGGAATTGACAATGGCATGCACCAACTCCATAATCAGGAATGGCTTGGCTCACAGCTGTCAGAAAGCCCTTGCCCGTGCACCTTAGAGGAATCCCTCTCCTGAGCCTCTTGTGCACTAGCACCCCCTCATCCTTTTGTACGTTACAAGAGCCTTTTCACTATGGTCCTGACTGTCCCTAGGTCTGTGGGTGCAGGGGCAGTGGATTCCATGGGCCCAGAACAGCCCTTGCTTGCAGAAGATGAACAAGGAGAAGGTGGGGTATGGTTAAGCCTTGACTCCGGTCCCACAAAACTTTGTGCTGGCAGAGGGGTGCCACCTTTTGCAGCTGGTGTAGGCTCAGGAGCAAGAGGAAAGCAAGAAGGAACTGTGCCTTGGAACCCCACACACCGGGCTTGTGACAAAATCAGTCTAACCCCAGTGAAACACATCAGCATGTGTGTAAATTAAGCACAGGAGTAGTAGTCCCACTATGTGAGCCAGGCAGGTCAAGATATGGTGGCGGTTCTGAAGAAACCGTGTTTGAATTTTAGCCTCTGACGATCCTTCAGTGAGCACAGTGTATTTTGTATGAATTTTACATGGATGAAGGGCCCCTTCCTGACAGATGCTGGTGCAACAGAGCCCATAGTCTGCAAAGCATTTATGCTCATGCTAGACTTCAAGCACAGGACCACGAGGAGTTTGAGTACAAAAAGGACCGTGCTCACTCAGTAAATAATCGTTCAAGGCTCAGCACACATTCAAATCAAACACAGCTATTTTCAGAACACATAAGAGGCTAGGTTCCATGCCTCAGTTCACATTTCAACTCCTGCCATTTCAGCTGCAGAGGTGGAAAACAATGTCGTGAGAATTATCGTCTATCAGGGAAAATGCAGAACTTTTCTTGAAACAACTCTGCAAACAAGTTACCTTCAGGCGGACAAGGAGTTGGGAACATTTCGGTCCACAAGGCAAACGTTTCAAAAAGTTGTATGTGCTTGAAAGCAAAGGATTAGACTAAAAAGTGTTACGTAGCCTGACCATGCTGCTCGGTCCCCTGGAGAGTACCCTTGGTAACTGCTTTGAAATCTTGTTTAAAATGTAAGGTCTTTGGAGCAGGGACTGTCTTTGTTGTCCTGTGCTTGTACTATGCCCAGCATGGTGGGATCTTGCTCCATGAGTAGGGCTGCTAAGTGTTGTGGTAATATAAATAATGATGATGATAACTCAAAGGGGATGGTGTAATTGTGTCATTTAGTGGCAAGCACTGGAGAAAAAGGAAACATTCGATTTCAAAACTGCATTTTCCTTTTTTCAAAAAAGTCTTCAGTCTGAATCCCGGAAGTACAACATATGAGTTTGCAACAGGCCTATTTGGTCTAGTGTCTGTTCCTAAACTAGTTTAAACTACATAACCTGACCTTCCCAAAGGAATGAAGCATAATGAAAAAACGTCATTCTCAGAATTAATGAAAAAGCTATTTTTTAAATGTATATCAGCACAACTGCTTATGGGGTGCCCTTGGTAGTAGAAACAACAGTTTTTCTTCCTACGTTTTCTATAACTATGACAACATACGACTTATGAAAAATCAGATTTAGCATTGATGTTTCAAAAAAGAGCCAATGATATTTTTCTAATACTTCCAAAATGACAGAGAAAGAGCGAATCCTCTCTTGCTCCCCCATCCATCATGTTCTTGCCCCATGCAAGTAACAGAACATCATCTCAAACAGGCGACTACTACAGCTACACGAAGAAATTCCAAGTGTAATCTCATGCAAGTAACAGTACAGCATCTCAAACAGGCGACTACTGCAGCTACACGAAGAAATTCCAAGTGTAATCTAAGCAATAGAGAAACCAGACTCTACAAAACCTGCTATCAACATTTTCCTCACCAGTCAACTACACAGGAAGATATAAAGTGAAGGCAACCATGAGACCTCAAGGGACAGATACTTAACAGGTACAATTTTATAGCTCCAGTGACTTCTCTGAAGTTGTGACAATTTACACCAGATGAGGAGCTGTGCTTATGTATCAAAAGATTGTTCCACAGATAAAGCTACCATGTTAGATACACAAATGTGTATGAAAAGAATGTTAAGATTGCACAGTCAAGCACTCAAATGTTAGGAAATACCAGAATTAAAGTTGCCTGTACAACATTAATTTGCCCATTTTGTGTGTATACCTTATGGCTATGTCTAGACTGCAAGCCTCTTTTGAAAAAGAGCATCTAGACTACAACCAGTACTTTCGAAAAAGCAAGCTGCTTTTTCGAAAGAGAGCACCCAGGCAGTCTGGATGCTCTCTTTCAAAAAAGCACAGTTTGCATTACATAGCGCCTTTTTTCAAAAGAGCACTTTCAAAAAAAGGTGTTCTTCCTCATAAAACGAGGTTTTCCACAGTCGAAAAAACTGCCGCGTTCTTTCGATTTATTTTTGAAAGAACGCGGCAGCAGTCTAGACGCAGGGGAAGTTTATTTGAAAAAAGGTCACTTTTTTAAAAAAAAACCTGTAGTCTAGACACACTCCACGATACAGTCTATATCCACCTGATCACCTTAGTAGCTGAATGCCTTCTATGTAAAATTAATAGCAATAGTGAAGTCTCTAGTGAACTTAATGGTGTGTCTGGTACTTCTTCTTTTATGGGCAACCTAATATGTTTTGGTTTTTGACCACCATTACACATTCAGTACATATTTTCCTGGAACTTACTACGATGTCCAGGTCATTTCTGTGAGTAGTTAGTTAGCTTACTATCTTGCAATATTAAGAAGCACTTAAAATGAGTCTTACCTATGTATATCACTTTGCACTTGTTAACAAAAATAAATGAATCTGTTATATTGCCCACTCACCTAACTCTGTCAGGTTGTTCTCGATCCTCACAGACTTCTCTAGTCTTAATTCACCTAAATTGTTGTTACTTGCAAATATTACCATCTCATTGTTCCTTCCTGTTCCCAGATTATTAATTGATCTACTAAATAACAAGGGCTTTAATATAGTTGGGACAACTGCTACTTCTACTATTTTGAAAACTGGTCATTTATTTCTACCCTCTTGTTTTCTGCCTCTTTAGTGATATTTGATTCATGATCACATCACTCTGTGACTACTTAGTTCTCTTAACAGCTTCCTTCATTTACTCTTTTACTGACATGCTCAAAGAATTCTAATGGCTTAGTGAGGCATGATTTTCCTCCTCAGAAGCTATGTTGGTTTGTTCCCATCCCATCTTTTCATCTGTGTTTGATAATTCTATTTTTATCCCTTCAGAATGGAGATTTCAGTCTATTCTTCAATAATTTACCTTTGTTTTTCTCATGTATCTACTAAGGTGCACCAGAATACAGTCCAGTATGGTATCTTACTGCAGTTTGAGCTACTGTGCTCAACAGGAAATAAAAGTAAGCATGACACAAATTCTACAGAGAACTACGATTTCCCTAAATCATACATCAATATTGCTATTTACTCACTCAAATTCAGCTGAAAGAACGTTTACCTGACAGAAAACATGTCAGTCTGAAATATTAAAAATCAATCAAATTTAGGACTTACGTATGAACCATAATCCACTGCTAGAGTCTGCAGGGCCCATGGGAGACCCAGGCCGATTAAAATGTCAAAAACATTGCTTCCAATGGAGTTCGACACAGCCATATCCCCCATGCCTGAAAAAACAGGAAACCATGTACAATTAGTCATACAGTAAAGTCATTTCAGTAAAGCCTCTTTGCTCTTTCTGAACTACTCCTGACACTGCATAGATTAACACTGGCTAGATTTGGCCTTTCTTTATAACTGACGTTCATTTCTTACAAAAAATGGCCACACTGGGAAAGCATGTGTTTCACCAAGAAACATTCTCTTGGCCTCCTAAAGCAGTATTGCCAACTCAATTTTTCTTATAGCCCCAGATCTTGGACTCCTGGAAATCTCAGTTTTCATTGAAAACAATCCTTTTCCAGCCTTCCTGGTTGCAGAGAAAAGCTGGAGAAAATGACTCCAGTGCTCCTGAAGTCTCAGAAACAAGAAGGAATATAAACAGGAGCATGATTTTTAAAAACATCCATCATTTTTAAGTTAAGCATGATTTTTCTCAATGATTGGCACTGGCAATGCTTCCATACATGGTCCAGATACAGTAATGGCCTTTTACCTTCTCTGTGATGGCACGTTCATTCTAGGACAATCTTCTGTTCTCTCTGCATATATACATTTCAAACCAGCATTGCTTTAACTCATCAGAACCATTCCCTGCTGCTCCGTTGGGACACACTGGTATGCCACTAAAATAGGTCAGTCCTCACACAAGTTTGACTGCTTGACATACAGGGCATGTCTACACTAGGAAATTATTTCGAAATAACTTATATCAAAATCATAACTCCCAAAATAACCACTTCAAAATAGCACATCCACACTATAGGGTATGTCTACACTGCATTCTTCTTTCGAGAGAGGAATGCAAATGCAGACGACTGAAATTGCAAATGAAGCGCAGATTTGAATTTCCTGCGCTTCATTTGCATAATCACGTCCTGGCGCTATTTCGAAATACCCTATTTCGAAAAAAGAAATGCAGTCTAGATGCGGTTATTTCGAAAGACAACCCTTCTTTCGAAATTACCCTTACTCCTTATCAAATGAGGTTTAAGGGTAATTTAGAAAGAAGGGTTTTCTTTCGAAATAACCGCGTCTACACAGCGTTTCTTTTTTCAAAATAGCACTATTTTGAAATAGCGCCTGGATGCGATTATGCAAATGAAGTGTGAGAAATTCAAATCTGCGCTTCAATTCAAATCTGCAATGTTGTTCATTTGCATTTGCATTCCTCTCTCGAAAGAGGAATGCAATGTAGACATACCCTATAGGGAAGCCTTCAAATTAGTCTGAGGCAGACTCCCTTAATGAGGATGCACTACCTAGACTTAGAGCCCCAGGCAGCAACGGGGAGTAATTACTTTGAATGACTCTGGGCAGTCGTTATTTCGAAATAGCAGCAGCGAAACGTCCACACTCCCGCTATCTTGAAATAAGCGTTATTCCTCATGGAAAGCAGGAGTTATTATTTTGAAATAACCAGTCCCTTTCCCTTATTTCACAATAACAGGCTTGGTAGTGTGGATGCGCCACTTATTATTTCGAAATAAGGGGCATTATTTCAAAAGAACTCCCTAGTGGAGACCAGGCCTCACTGTCCTCCCTAAATGTGAGGGGAAACCAATTCAAGACTTTCAGGGCCAGTTCCTCCGCTTTAATAGAGCTATGAGAATTTCCATCAGCTGATGGTCTGCCCGCTCCCCCTGCGATATAAGAACCTGAAAAAGACAGGACAGAGGCTACGCCCACCTGTGTCTTACCCCTCTTCCCATTCTGCCTTGCCCAAAGTACTGCTCTGGACATCTACGGTCCTGAAGAACATAGAGCAGATGTCCAAAGGCTGAAATGGCTTCAAGCACTTGTGTCTACTGTTGGAGTCTCATATGAAACCCGTACGTCTTTGCCACCTCTCGGAAACTCTGTGTTATGGAACCTGAGGAGCAGACTTACTAAACGCCACTCCCATTCTCCAGCTGAGCTCATCAAGGAGAGCTGCTGATGTCTTGCCCTTCAGCCCAAATTCGCTTTTTCAAAGCTCAGGTTCCCTGACAACAGTGTCCGGTCAGGGAAGATGCACTTTTGTACCATTCCCATGATCAGGAAAGCGTATCTGGAGATTAGCAATCCACACTTCCCCTGTGCCTCCTTAAAAGGCCGTGGACACGTAGGCAATGCTTCCCTTTATACCCATGTTTGCCGATCTAGGAGGCAAACCCCAAATTCGCTTTTTCAAAGCTCAGGTTCCCTGACAACAGTGTCCGGTCAGGGAAGATGCACTTTTGTACCATTCCCATGATCAGGAAAGCGTATCTGGAGATTAGCAATCCACACTTCCCCTGTGCCTCCTTAAAAGGCCGTGGACACGTAGGCAATGCTTCCCTTTATACCCATGTTTGCCGATCTAGGAGGCAAACCTACATATGCCCTATATTGCAATATGTTTTAGGCCAGCAGAGCTGACCCTAGGGGGTGCAGAGCCTGGGGCAACCCCCCCCGCCTGGCTCCACTCCCACCCTGCCTCTTCCCACCCCACCCCTGCTCCACCCCCACCTTGCCTCTTCCCACGCCTGCTCCACCCTCTACCCCCTGAAACCCCTTCCCCCAAGGGATGTGAGTTGGAGCTTTAAGGCATTATTATAACACACATAAAGCTAAATAATCTTGGAACCCAAAGACAATTACATCGTAGGTGTATCATATTCAGAGGTGGAGCCTCAAGTCAGCGCAGGAGACTGAACACGGAGGAGATGCCTCCTTCTCCACCCCCTCTCCCCGGCGAGTCTTTCGGCGTGCAGGTTACCGTCTGTCAGTGTTCTCTGGAACACGACGTATTCCGGAAAGTTGGAAGCTCTTGCTTAACACAGAACTTACCAGGGCAAGTCACACTTGAGGTCACAGAGTGACATAAAAAAGTTCAGTTCAGGATAATACTGGGTTTCCAGGCTCTCTAACATGTAGTCTCCAAAATTTGAACCATATGTTCTGAGCAACATAGTGATCCTGTGGTTTCTAGTCTTCCAGCTTTGGAGAGCGTGGACAGATATTCATTCTCCAAACCAGTTCATCCTCCCAAATGAACACGTGTGTGTGTGCGTGTGTGTGTGTGTGTGTTCATCCTCCCAAATGCACAGTTGGGGTATGTACATGTGTGTGTGTGTGTGTGTGTGTGTGTGTGTGCGTTTGTTGGGATGTGGGGGTAGTCACCCTCCATTTCCTGTGGAGAGAATGAAGGCTCTCTCTTTTGCAAGAGTTTGGTTTGGCTCTGAGAGAAAAACCTGACCTTCATTTTGCATCTAGTACAGGAGTTAACTGGGCATGGACCGGAAGAGTTGCTGTAATTTCTGATCTCCAGTGAAGAAAGTGCGCTCAGTCCTTTAGAAACAGACTAGCCATATTTCGGTGCTTCTAAAATCAGAATACGGGGCTCAAGCACTCAGATGCTCAGACACACTTGCGGCGGCTTTATTCCAAGTTTCCCCAAACCCTTGGGTGTGTCTAGACTACAGGGTTCTGTTGACAAAAGTGGACTTTTGTCAACAAAACTATACCTGCGTCTACACTACCGCTGAGTTTTGTCAACAGTAAGTCGACAGAACACGGCAGTTTTGTCGATGGCATTAAACCTCATTCTATGAGGAATAACACCTTTTTTCGACAGTTATGTCATAAAAAGGCACTATTGCATCCACACTGTGCTTTGTCAAAAGAAACCATCTAGTGCTCCACTTAGGAAGGAACAATCAGTTCCATACATACAAGATGGGAAGCGACTGTCTAGGAAGGAGCATGGCGGAAAGGGATCTAGGGGTCATAGTGGACCACAAGTTGAATATGAGTCAACAGTGTGATGCTGTTGCAAAAAAAGCAAATATGATTCTAGGTTGTATCAACAGGTGTGTTGTAAGCAAAACTCGTGAAGTCATTCTGCCGCTCTACTCTGCACTAGTTAGGCCTCAGCTGGAGTACTGTGTCCAGTTCTGGGCGCCACATTTCAAGAAAGATGTGGAGAAATTGGAAAGGGTACAGAGAAGAGCGACAAGAATGATTAAAGGTCTAGAGAACATGACCTATGAAGCCAGGCTTCATGAACTGGGCTTGTTTAGTTTGGAAAAAAGAAGATTAAGGGGGGACATGATAGCGGTTTTCAAATATCTAAAAGGGTGTCACAAGGAGGAAGGAGAAAATTTGTTCCTCTTGGTTACTGAGGACAGGACAAGGAGTAATGGGCTTAAAGTGCAGCAGGGGAGGTTTAGATTGGACATTAGGAAAAAATTCCTAACTGTCAGGGTGGTCAAATATTGGAATAAATTGCCAAGGGAGGTGGTGGAATCTCCCTCTCTGGAGAAATTTAAGAACAGGTTAGATAGACATCTGTCAGGGATGGTGTAGACGGAGCTTGGTCCTGCCTTGAGGGCGGGGGGCTGGACTCGATGACCTCTCGAGGTCCCTTCCAGTCCTATTATTCTATGATTCTATGATAGACTCTCTGTCGAAAAAGCAGCTTCCTTTGTCGACAGAACTGGCTGTAGTCTAGACACTATTTTTCGACAGTATGTGTTGACAAAGCCTCTGTCGGAAAAAGCCTGTAGTCTAGACGTACCCTTTCTCTCTGCATCCCATAGCAGTCTGCTGTTTTCCCCAAGACAGCTGGGACTGGAAGGGAAGCATGATCTCTGCCGCATTGCTAGCACTATTACAACTGGGGCTCCAGAGAAGTTGTCACCTACCCCGTCGTCTGATGAAGCCGGCAGCCGCTTAATGAACTAACAAGCACATGCTGCTGTTCTTGCGGGGAATAAGCCAATTACATTTCGATTGGCTTCTGCTCATTTCATTGATCCCCAGCCGCCTTTTGAATAAAAAGCTAGAAATAGATGAAGTCGTTCTTCCAGAAGAGAGCAGGAACACAGCAAGATAGGCCAGCCACAGGCTGAGTCTCATGGCTTCATACAGACAGGGGCTGGAGGGTCGCATTTGCCAGCCCTGCCTTTCAAACTCCATGGAGAAAGGGAGAGGAAGCCATCAAAGAGCCTGATTCTCACTGACACCCAGGCCCGGCTACGCTAGTCTGGTGGAAACGTGGCCTTCAAGAATGTGTGAGTGCAATTTCCTCTCTAATTAAAATCCCTGGGTGAAATTCCGGCCCTGGTGACGCCACTAGGAATTTTGTCCTGACTTCAATGGGGCCAGCACGAGAGCAGCGTAAAGGGGCTTTGGAGTAAATGGGATCGGATGCTTCTGGGAAGAGAGCAAAACAGGCTCTGGACCCAGCCCTGAGTCAGTTCCCCTCCCCCGGCTGGATACGTACCATCCACACCATCACGTAGGAGAAGGCGGCGATCCAGAGGGTGGAGGAGGCAAAGGTGACCATGAACCATTTTTCCCAATAGGGCTTGTTGCAGTTGGGCACCGTGAAGTACAGCAGGAAGCTCAGAGGCCAGGTGAAGAGCCACTTCAGGATTTCCATTTTGCCAGCTGCCAGAAACAAAAGGGGACAGCCATGCATCTCTGCCCCTTCTCTCGGCTTTAACCCTCAGCCCTGTGCTCCCAGCAGGAGTGGCTGCCCCCGCAACACATAATAGAGAGGCAGTCCCTGCCCAACAGCATAGGAGATGAGGATAAGACAAGAGGCAGGGAGGTACAAGGCGAGAACAAGGGGACAGAAAGGACAGTCACAGCCAAGGTGGAAACTAACTTAAAATTCCTTATAGGTACTACTGTATTGGCCCCCCAGTGGGGGCTCAGAGTCGGGAGCTGGGGAGGTGCTATACGACAGTGCCTGTTAGAAATTCAAGTGTGGGGTGAAGTGTAGGGGGCTCGGGGCAGGGGGCGGTATAGGAGTCAGAGTTGGGGGTGTGAGGACAGGGTTGGGGTGTGTATGGAGGGGTGCAGGAATGAAGGTGAGGGATGTGGGGGGCTCAGGATAGAGGGTTGGGGCATGTGCCGGGTGCCTGAATCAAGTCAGAGGGCTGGAGGCATGAGAGGAATGCAGGGGGGCAAGGGCGTCCCTTTAGAGAGGACAGGGGAGCTGGTTCCCCCTGACTGTGGCTTGCTGTTTCCTTCTCTCACGGTGAGGAAGCGAGAGCAAAGCACTCAGCATGTGTCACTCCTCTTCCCCCTCTCTGCCCTAGGCCGGGAGGAGAGGAATGGAGGAGGCTTAAGGAAGGCTGGGATCTCGCTCCATGGCTCATGGAGCCGCCTGGTGGCACTCTAAAAGCCTTCGCTTCCCCTGCTTTCAGCACCCCTCTAAACCCCATCTTGGTTTCCTTGGTGAACAGCCCCCCAAAAGGTAGCCCCAAGCCCTTCTCGGGGCCGAGTGTGCTGGCTCTCTGCATGCCTGGGGGCTGTCACTCACCACAGTTTGTTGGACACCCGGGTTTCAAAGACCCAATCCCGAGCCGGCTACTAGGGCGGTCCAGGGTGGAGCTGATGTCACTGCGGCACTTGCACAATGTCATTGCTTGGGGCGAAGGCAAGGTGATAGGCAGGCCCACCGATGGGGGGAGGGACCCAGGGGACAACTGTTCCGGGGACCAGCCATTCAAACGTCCTGGGGCTCCAGCCGCCACTGCCACTAGTACGGCACTGACTCCATCGCTGGAGCCTCAGGTGGTGCTAAGGGCTAGCAGGGATGGTGCGGCAGGGTCCAGGCCGTGCTGAGGGCTGGCTGTCCCTAGCCCTGCTCCTTGTGGGAGGGTGGAGCCTGCCCTCCCTCACTGCCCAGAGGCCTGGTAATTCTGTCAGCTCCCCGCCCGCCCACAGGGCAGCACTTCACCATGAGGAGACACTAGGATGTTGCCAGCACTGGGAAGGTGTCAAAACAAACTCCACGGTGTGTGCGGTTTCAAGAGGGGAACAAGAAACCGAGTCTGGAAAACAACCCCCAAATCTACCCACGTAAGGCCCATTTACACGGCCTGAGCAGTGTTACACATGGAGGCATCAGTGTAAACGCCACTCAGGACTGAACGATGTTGCACACAGTGGGCCATATGCACATTTGCACGAGGGCCCCCTGACCCCTCTCTGGAAGTATAAACGGGGACACAGACTAGACTTTATACAGCCAGAGGAGCGTGACGGGAACGTGGTGCAGTTGAGAACCAGGCCCTGATGTTTGGTTCACCACTGTCCAGCATCTTGTGCCGTGGTTTACAGCAGCGCAATGGGGGGATAAAATGGAACCGTTCTCTCTGTGCGGTCCAGGCGGACTACACGGCTCAACGTGGCGCATCCGCACTAGGAATAGAGGTTTGTTCTTGCCTTGTGTTAGCGAGCTGCCATAAATAGGCGTTCGCAGGTCAAGGTAGACCCCCAGCTCACTGCGGTCGCCTTACAATACGCTGCCTCGTCTCTAGTAGGATTTACTCTAACATGAAGAGTAACACGCAGCATGTAGTTTCAAAGAACAGGCTTATCAGAGACGGCCGTATCTAAGGTCACTGGGATGCTGTTTGGCGTGTTCATAGTTAGCCTGAAAGAAGGAAAGACCTGGAGTTTCTTACAGGGTAGGTCAAAAGGAGTGTAAGGTCCATCATTATCATCATCCTCTTCCTCCTCTTCCTCGTCGTTCTCATTATTCTCGTTGTCCTCATTCTCGTTCTCGGTCTCATTCCCAGCCTCAGCCATGTCCTCCTCCCTTCGAGTCCCATTCACGCCCCTCTCAGCGGAGTTGCTGGGGCCTGTCCCGTTCTCCAGGGCACGCTTGATGGGAATTTTGATAGCCACTTCCGACTCCCCGTTAGTGTAGGCTCTGCTGTTGATCAGCCTTTGCCTCTGGAAACAAGAGTTACAAAGCCTTGGTGAAAAAGAGATTTATTTAAACAATAGCAAGAGATCAGAAGAACCTTGGAGAAGAAGGTTTTGAAAAAATATGGAGCCCGATCCTCAACTGGTGTAAATGTGACATTTACTCCTGCTGCGGATCTGACACAAAGATTATCGTTCTGATAAATGAAAGATTGAGAATAATAGTATCTAAAATAGATATAGGCAGAAAGTACGGGCCAGATGCTAATCTAATCACATTGGTGTAAACTTGAAGTCTACTAGTTTAAAACACAAAAAAGGAAGTATTTCTTCACACAACGGGCAGCCAACCTGTGGAACTCCTTGCCAGAGGATGTTGTGAAGGCCAAGATTTTAAAAGGGTTCCAAAAAGAACTAGATAAATTCATAGAGAATAGGTCCATCAATAGCTATTAGCCAGAATGGGCAGGAATATGTCCTTAGCCTGTTTGCCAGCAGTTGGGGATGAATGGCAGAGAATGGATCACTTGATGATTCCCTATTCTGTTTGTTCCCTCTCAGGCACCGGGCATTGGCCACTGTCAGCAATCAAGACAGCGGGCTAGATGGACCTTTGGTCCGACCCAGTCTGGCCGTTCTTATGGACTGAAGTCATTGGGATGACAATGTTTGTAGGACCCATCTAAGGGAGACCAGAATGAAGCCAATGTCTGGGGGTATCTCCTGGGAGTGGGAGGAATGAAACCCTTCTGCCATTTAGTGTGATCTGGTACATTGTGTGGATAGAGCATTCTCTTTAGAGTGGTAGCCGCATTGTTAGCCTGTTTCAGCAAACACAACAAGTCCGATGGTACTTTAAAGACTAATGAATTTATTAGGGTATTAGGGAATAATCTTAAAACTTTAAGCTTATGCCCTAATACCCAAATAAATTCCTTAGTTTTTAAAGTGCCATTGGGCTCCTTGTTATTTCTGCATTCTCTTTGGGTATCTTATGAGGAGGGCATAGCGTCAGGGGACGGCTGAGCAGTGTGCTTGGACATGGCTCAGGCAGATGAGGAAGTCCACCAGAGTGCAGAAATGCCTGTCAATCTGCCTTGTGTCCGAAGCCGTCCGTGGGAGTAGGTGAGCTCAGGCTGGACCTAGACTCAGTCTGAGGAGCAGGGCCGAACACGTACCTCGTTGATCAACATGCGGCTGGCCATGGAGAGACGGGTCTTGGGAGGAAAGTGGCTGGTTATCATGATCCTGAGTCCTGCCTCGGAGAAGGAGAGCTGGTGTGGATAGGCAGACAGCAGCTCGTCCACCATGATCACGGAGGCTTTACGATGGAAATTCCCTGCAGAGAGTGAACAGGGAAAGGGGTGAGGTACCATATTTGCTGGTCCAGTGGCCCCTCTCAGAGTGACTCAGTGCAAGCGTTTGACAAACCCTCCCGCTCTTCAAAACTAGCCGCCCAAACAGTCAACTCCGCATTAGCGCAACATGTTTTCCATCTTTTATCTCATTCCACATACCACCCCATCGGACAGCGACCCTTTCCTCTCCACCTCCTCGCCCGCCCGGGAGCGAGGAACCATTTGGCACGAGTGGCGCAGGAGAGATGGCCCCCACCGCACGCTACGTGGTTCTCAACAGGCTGAATTCAGTGAACTATAAAGATGAGATGTGTGGGCCCAGGGTGAGAGACTCAACTTCAGACAGTTGCCTCAAAAGTGCCTCTTTTCTCATTCCATTTCTCTCCTTGAGCAACCGGATTTTGAAACAAGTCTCTCCCCGAGGCTTTGCATTGCAAAATCTAACCTAGTCTCAAGGATTTATCACACACTCGGAAGTGTAAGTGCCCCACTGCAGTAGATGCCTTCAGTTGCTTAGGCCCGTGGTACTGGCTGCACTGGTCCCAAGAGTATAATCTTTACTTATAGGAGGAAATAACCCTCACCCATCATTTCATCATCTACTGGGGCAGGCGGCTGTGGCTGTGTATCAGCTCAAGGTTCTGGTATCCCAGGGCAGTGCGCTCACTGCCGGAAAGAGGCACCAAACCTGGCAGTGCGTGAGGCCTAGCTGTTCTGTGATGGCCATGTGCCTGCTGCTGATCCAATGTACAGAACCAACCCTGAGTGGCCAAGAGACAGGAACATGCATTAGGGGCACTAGTTGTGTACCACATGCTTGAGGTCAAATCCTGATCCCTCCGTAAGGTTGCCAGATACTTTCCCAAAAAATACCAAACGTGGCAAGGGAAAAATTGGCTGAGCAAAAACAAAAAAAAACCCCAAAAAACCCCAGACAAAATAAGGGTCACTGTGCCTTTAAATTCCAGCACTACATACTCCTCGCTCCCCCTGCCAGATGCGGCAGGGGAGGAATGTCCCAGGAGGCCTTCCATGCCCAAGACAAGCAGAAAATACCGGCCATTTTAGATATCCGGTATTTTCTGTTTTTTTTTACCGGACAGAGGCCACAGATACAGGACTGTCTGGGCCAATACCGGACACCTGGAAACCCTATCCCTCAGAACTCCAACAGCAACATCCCATAAGCCACCTGGGGCCAGGATGTTCTACATTTGTACAGATCCTAGCGACACAGCCGGCACTCAACGTGCAACCACAATACGTTATCCTATTGGTATGGCCACAGAGGACAATATGTTCTCAACATTAATTCACCGAGTTTCCTTTGTTTTTAATGAAAATGGCTCTCTGCTATGACCATGTGACCTAAAGGATAAGGTGTTTGACTTCAGATCTGGTGAGTGAGGGTTTGAGTCCCTGTGTTTAATAGGTAGCAGATTTAAAACAAAAAGAAGTATTTCTTCACATAAGACACAGTTAATCTGTGGAACTCCTTGCCAGAGGATGTTGTGTAGACCAAGACTATAACAAGGCTCAAAAAGGATTTAGATAAATTCATGGAGGATAGGTTTATCAATGGCTATTAGCCTGGATTGTTAGGAATGAAGAGGGAAAAATTGTTATTTTTATTCTTATCTAAAGCAACATGGCTGAATCATTGCTTGAAACTTCTGAAGAGCTTGTACTTAAAAAATGGCACTTGTGAGAAATGCAGCAGGCCCATGGGCCTTTCCATTTCCTGGCAGAACTCAAGAATTAATAAAAATTGTTCAAAAAGGTTCCACGTGGTTCAAAAAACAGAAACCGTTTTTTGAGTCTCTTATTTCAAAGTGTCCAGATAAGCAGAGGCTCACACAGTGACTGAAACCTGAGACCCTTGCAACCGAATTGCATTCCAATGTATTATTTGTGTTACTGAAGTACCTAGGCGCCCTAGTCACAAACCAGCTCCCCTAGTGCTGTCTCTGCACTTTCCAAACACAGAAGAAAAACACTGTCCCCGCCCCAAAGAGTTTACCATCTAAGCCGGTAAAGAGTGTGGTGTGCTTGGTCTGCCTGCAGAGTAGTGCGGAAAACAACACTGGAGATTTGCAGTCAGCAATTTCTTGGCCACTAGTGGCCAATTGCCAGACAAACACTGAAACAATTTTCACAAAGTGAAGAAACCTCTCTTCTGTCAAATGACTCGTCCCACGTTGTAACCACAGTTACAAATCAAAAAAGCTACCCAGCCATGAGAATTGTAAGGCAAAAAGAAATTATTTTTAGAGATGCGTGCGTAAACAAATCCGTAACTGAAACTCTCTTATTTGCGTTAGTAATCCTGTCATCAGCTGGTTACCTGAATGACTAAGGCCTGGTCTACGCTGAATTTTGTTTCCAGACTGACAATGTCAGTAAAGGGTGTGATTTTTTTGGAAGCGATGATGGTAAAAGCCCTAACGCAGACACCAATATTGCTTATTTCACTTCCTCAAACCAGAATAAACTATCGTGGCATACGTACCAGTATGTAACAGGGTTAGCTGAAGTATTCCCACGCATGTGTGGAATGAATTTTATTATGTGCACCAATATGGAGGTGATATGTCACACATCCCCTTCATATTGGTACACATAAAATTCATGTGGTAGGGGTGGGACCAAGGGGTTCAGAGTGAGGGGACTGAGGGCCGGAGCAGAGGTGTACTGGGGTGAGAGGACTTCAGCTGGAGGTGCAGGCTCTGGGGTGGGGCTGGAGATGAGGGGCTTTGGGGCACAGGCCTGCCTGGAGGCTACAGGAGGGAGAGAGGACTTCTCCCCAGCTTTCTTTCCCCACAGCAGCGCCTCCCTAGGTGCAGCTAGGACAAAACCAGGCTCCCTGGCCATCATGGCACTCAAGCCAGGCAGGGGGATGCGTGCCATGATGACCAGGGAAGGGACGTCTATCCCCCAGCTGCGGCAGGTCCGGGCTGGGGCTGGGTTTAGGTCAGGCACCCCTCCCCCAAACGGGGCAGGTCTGCCAGGGCTGGGTTCCCTCAGAGCCTGCACGGCACTTGCAAGGATGCTGTGCAGCTATGCGGCCCTGCAGCTTACAGGGAATCAGAGGCGTAGCGAGGGTCGATGGGGAGGGGGCAGTTGCCCCCGGGCGCCATGCTAGAGGGGCACCAATTTAGTGCCCCTCTACTCCCCTTGTCATCCCTCGGCTCGCCTGCTCCTCCTCCGCCCGCCGCCAGCTGAAGCCTCCTCCTCCATCTCTGCCAGCGGGGTCATGTGTGTTGGAGGGTGGCCCCCAACCG